CCCGGGTGGGCTGTGGGCAGCTGCAGTGCGGAGTGCTGGCCATGGGGCGGGTGAGGGGCTGCTTTTCCCATGCTCAGCACCAGCTTGTGACCTACCCCCAGTGCCAGGGCTGCGCCGCAGCTGCTGTGGCCCCCCTGCTTGCCACACTGGGCAGCGTTTGCCTCTGCTGTCTCTGGGCTGCCCAGCGCACGAGCTCCGGGCAGGCAGCAGCAGCAACAAATACTGCCCGACATGGCAAGCGGGGGGGGGCCACAGCTGCTGCCGCCACAGCACAGCCCTGATGGATGAGTCCGGAGCCAGCGCGGGGCCCAAGCTGGCTGTGAGGGCGTGTTAGAAGCTGGCACCGAGTGCGGGAAAAGCAGCCCCTCGCCTGCCCCGTGGCTGGCACTCCACATTGCAGCTGCTTGAAGCCTGCCTGGGGCTGCCTGTGCCTGCTCCAGACAGCCCTGCGTGGGCTGTGAGCAGGTGCAGCAGGGAACACCAGCCATGGGGTAGGGGAGGGACCGCTTTTCCCTTAGCTCCTTCCTTGCCCGCCCTGCCCCGAGGTTCTGGCACGGTGCAGTTACACGGTCCCAGGCCAGAAGCCCCTGCTGGGACTTCTGGCTTGGGGGGCAGGGCCAGGTGGGCCCTGCTGTTGTGGGAGCCCACCAGGCTTCCCCTGGGTCCTACTGCCCTTGGTTTCTGTCATTTTTGACAGGAACTGAAGACAGATAAATATTAATTTTCCAAATATTTTAAGGGCCCGGCGGGCCGGATGGAATGGCCTCGTGGCTGTATTTTGCCCACCCCTGCTCTACAGGAATATTGTGATGTCTGGGGACTCCAATTCTGATTTTGCATGCTTCAGTTGCAAGCATTGACTTCAGTTGGGTTATTCCTAATTCTTCTCTGGGCCCAGTATTTCTAAACCTTTTTGAAATATAAAAAGTTCCTATTAGCATATTTATTATTAGTAACCCTACTCTTTTTACTGGAAAAATATTTGCTTAATAATTAACCATGCAAATACACAAGCCAGAAGGTGAAGCAGTCAGTCATGCCATTTAATAATAAGCAACAATTCACAATGCAGTCACCTTCCTGACAGTGTAACTTACATGGCAGTTCACCCTACGGCAGGTATTAACTTGCGGCCAGATTTACAGCTGTTGTAAATCTCATCCATTGAATGAGGCTGCTACTGTTATTTGTATTATGGTAGAACATAAAGGTCCTAAAATCAAGAGTGGGGCCCCTATTCTAGGCACTCTGCAAACATGTTTAGTCTCGACTCCAGAGAGTTTATAATATAAATAGACAAGACAGGGCAGTAGGGGAGGTAATACAGGCTGAGTTCAAGAGGAAGAGCAGTAAACATCACGTTCATGTCTGTCTGTTGCCTTGTGTTTTGTTTTGCCATTCTGCACCAACTGAAGATCTATCCCCTAATCTCCTACATACCATGGATCTTGCAACTAATGATCATATGTGCTATGGCAGAACATGAGCTCTGTTCTACGTTATTTTCTAATACCATGTTTGCTTACAGCTTGCAAATGAAAGTGTGTATTTTCCCCCCCAGGGCTTCTTTTGTAAAGAAGAGAAGGACTTCGATAACTGGTGTAGTCTTGTACAAAAGGTAATCATGCAATGTTTTCTTAATATAATCCACATCAAAGTGTGCACACATTGTTTTGGTAAAATGTTAATTTCCCTTTAAATGTCTCTGTGTATGGTATTTAAATGTGTCACATGCCTTCTTTGGGATGGAAGAATACAGTTAAGGTGAAAAGGGAGGTGAATGCTGTTGACGTGCTGAGCAAAAGCTATGTACAGCGCTTCAAAAACCAGTGTCATTTGGAAAGTGGGTAAAGAGAGACATCTTTAAAGTAACTTAACATCTCTTTAAGCTGCTAAAGATACGTACTTTTAAAATCTAGTTCTTGTATTTTTAACTGCTTTTCTGTGACACTTGTCTCTTCTTATTTGTGATGTCCTATTAGGTGTCTAACCATAAAGGTAACATGGTTCATTGAGTAGCATAGGTCTGATTCTGTAAAGCACTGAAGTCCCTCAACTCCCATTGAATCAGTGGGTGCTGAAGATTTTCAGACTCTTGCAGGACCAATACTTGAGATAACACTTGCATTTTTAAGACACTGGTGTGTGTTTGTGGTATGTTTTAAAGCCAAACGCCAAGTGACTTCAGACCCCAGGAAACATCTGTAAAACCAACTGAAGATTTCTCCAGGAAGACATTTGTAAACTGTTTTAATGTCTTTTTTAAATTAGGCTTGACATTATTCTCCAGGCTGAACTACCGTGGAATTTGGCTGTAATAATAACCAGTCTCTCTAGAACAAAAACGATCCTTCGAAATCCATTAATTTCTGGAGCTACTGAGTTTGTCCCTTGCTCCTGTCATTCAGAAATGCATTTGATTATAAAATCCAACTGGGAGCCATTTCTTTCCCTTTTAAAAAGATAGGGATAGTATGAAATACATTCCTATCAGTTTTCTGCTCATGAACAATTATAGCTAGTGTTGATTTCACAGCTAATTATAACGCAGCTGACAACTTGTGACAGCTTGCAAAGATCAGTCTTCTGTGCCTGCTTCTAACTGGGGAAGGTCACTACATATGGAACCATACAACAGCAGTCTTAAAGAGGGTCACAAACTATAACTGTCATATATCTGCAGAAGGTGGTTGGGTTTCCTTTTTGTTTCCCATCTCGCAATTTTTACTAACCAGTCAATTCTAGTATCTGAAGTTCCATTAATTTGCTGCGTCTTTTTTTAAAAAAGTGCTCTATTCCCAGGAGATTCTAAAGCAGCAGAGTCTGCGGATGTTTGAGTTAGTCCAGAAGCATCCACCACATTGGCCTCCTTTCATACCTCCAACTAAACCAGAAGTGACAACAACAGGAGCAGGTACAATACTAACTTGAGTGTACTACTCTAGCACTATGTTCCTCATTGTACTGGGATGAAAACTTAGCAAAATATAACTATTCCACCTTTGATTAATGTCAGGTTCTTACAAGATGTGATATTCTTTAATGCTTTTAGTAACTTGAGCTCCAGACAGCTGTCATCAGGAGGTTAAATATGATTTCTAGCAAAGAGTAGTTTAGGCCTACAGAATTTTGCTGTAAAAAGTCCTCCGAAGTAAAAAGCAGTAAGTGTGTTTTGGAATTCAACAACTGTTTCAATTTTTGTTGGCAGAACTCATAGAATCTACTGACAAACTATTTGAATTGGAGGAAGAGTTTGAGATCCTGAGCGTATGAAGGAAGCTGTAATGACTTTTCTGTGTTGAACATATTATATTGACTTAAACAGCCATTTTAGCCCTAAAGTGCCTGAAATTAAGGACAGAGCACAAATTTTAGTAGCATGCACAGCTCGGACAACAATGGTTTATGAAGATCTTCCCCAGAAGGAAAGAGAAGGTATGGATCCTGTAGTCTGATGCATAAAGAGAATCTCTTTCCAGTGCAAATCTTATTCAAAGAGACACGAACCTTTTGAGGTGAAGACAAAATCAACGTATCAGAGTAATGACTGTGGTATATTACTGGGCTCTACCTTTGAAGACGGATTGTCCCAATGGGTATTCTTGCTCTCATATTATAATGCAATAGTTTAGCTTTTAAAACAAAACAGTATTGCGCTGAGGGAGGATGTTTACTTTTGTTCCCTCCTGTGGGCTGCATCATACGATTAAATACGCTGTCTTGTTATAAGATCAACTGGATCAGGAGAAGATTATTTCCTTGTTAAATATTTTAACATGTATTTGAGCAACCACACTTTATTACAAAAATGTTTCTGTGAAAGGAACTATGTCTAATGTATACATTTTGCAATGGCTTTCCTGTTTCTGAGAAACCTGAAAAGGAACAGGAGACTTTATTAGCTGGTATGGATCACGATCACTGCTATAGTTATGAGATATTTCACCCTGACCTTAAGTTCAAATCATTAAAATGTTAGGTTGATTTTTTTTTTTGTTTTTTTTGTTTTTTTTTTGTTTCAGAGTTAAAAAGAGTCAAGGGTGGTTTAACAGTATCTTATTTATTTTTAAATAGATTTACATGAGTTTGTGTTACAGCACTTTATCTGTGCATCTAATAAATTTCTTAAGCTTTTCATAGGTTGTATGTTGCTACATTTTGTGAATTTGCTTCAACTGACTAAATATAAAAGAGTTGTCTCAAATCCGCACATGGAAAAATGACACAGTTGCCTTGTTACCCTGTCAGGTCCACGTTGGTAAAAGCAGAGCACATGCCTAAGGACTTCACTGGATAAGATTTATTCAGCCTGTAATAAAGAATCATCATCATGTGGTAAAAAGAGCCTCAGCTTCACACCAATAGCAATTTCTGTAGAAGTCTGTCCTTCAGTTGTAAAAGAAACCATAGGGAATTTACAAGGCACTTATTTCACATCTCCTAATATGTTCATACATAGTGGCCTCATCAAACTTACTGCAGAAAGAGAAGCTGACAATAACAGCTTAAGTCCTAGTTATTAATTCACAAGACTGGCATACTGGATTTTTCCTATGTATTTTAAGGGAAGGCCAATCAGTGATACCTGATGTGCAGTTACACCCTGCAGGGAATTTGACTATTTAACAGTGAATTAAAAATATAATAATTTTTTAAAAGATAGTGAGTAGCAGAAATAAATCCTAGAGGATGAGGAATACAGTACAAGGTGTTTTAGTTGTATAAACATATATCCAATAACAGCTTATTTCCATGTTTTCATGAACTTGAATGCTGTATTATAAAGCTTCTACGTTTTAAAAGATACACAGTTCTAAGACTTAGAAAATAACTGTGCCAAAGGCTACCTCGGAAAGAAAATGTTATACGCATATTGAATTATTCTGGTGGTCACACCAGAATTAATTCACTGCTAGAGTGAAAAAGGGTAACCGCAGACCTTGAACCATACATTTTACATGACAGTTCAGCAGAGAGAAGCTGTGAATAATCACAAAAAGTGGCTTTCAGCTCAGGGAGATACAAAGATCCACAAGTTTTCACCAGGATAACTTTTGAAGTCACCAGAGTAAGCCAGAACCCAAAGAGTGCTCCCTGTTGCTAAATGAAGTAGCTCATCTTTAAAACTAGGACCTTCCCAGGCAAGCCAGCCTAACACTTACACCTCTGAGACAATGATTCACTTTAACCGCTTCAAAGTTCTGTTCTTTTCCTATTGAAAATCTACTTCAGTTGCACATTTCATTGCAAAATCAAGGTCCATTTCCTCAAGCCAGATCAGGTGCTTTTTCTGCAAAGACAATTCATAAGTGAAACAAACTTGTTTAAAAAAACACCCTCTTAACTAGCCAAAGAAGAGCACCTAGAACAGATGGGCAGTGTAATGTGAAATATCTATCACTGTGTAAACTAAATGAAAGGCACAGACACTTTCTGAGGTAGCCAGGAACAGACAAACAAATATGAAGCACCATGTTCCATAAAACAGCTTTCAGAGCATTAGTGTATCCCTCTTTTCTTCTGTGTTAAGTCATGTTCCTCATGGACTTGCAGACAGTTTCCATACGTTCTTGACTGTCATAACCCATCCATAAAACCCAGCACAGAAAAGGCTGATCTGTTTCCTATTTCTTCAAATCACTGAGGTTTGGACTCGGAAGTTTTCTGTTGCTGTTTCATTTGGTTTTGCTACAAGTTCTTCATGCATACTTGGCAACGGCTCACTCGTGTTCGAAGCTGCCCTGCTTTCAGAGTTTCTGAGGGAGGAGCACCGACAAACTGCTGGTTCTGCTCAACAGTTGTCAGCCAGAAGCTGTACTTGTTTGCAAAATAATGGCAGGTTCCTCTGGCACCATTGCATTCGATGAAAGGAGTAGCACGGAAATCTTCCAGGCAAGAGCCAGGTGAGACAAGGGACTGGCCACCTCCTTCTGCACCAGCTGCTGTGTGCTGGAATGAAGATATTCATTCCATGAGCTCCAAGCAAACAGAACAAATAATTGCACAGGGGACTCCTGGGGTCCTTGTGTTGCAGGGAACAAAATGGGGAACTCTATAAATTGCACCTCAACTACCTGTTACTTGGGTACAGCCTATTGTTAAAGTACAAGAATACCGAACCTTGGCTGAATGTCTGTTTAGCCAAAGCACTATGGAAAAACAGCTTTTCACTTGCAAAGTGATCCTGTTAGAAAACTGGGAGATGGTAAAGCTCCCTGTGCTCTCTTCAGGGTCTCCTTACAGTCACGTAACAACTCCTTACGTAGTGACGTAACAACAGTTCACAAAAAATTAAAACTATGGAGAAAACCACAGAGATAGAAGCAAGATTGTACTATAGTTTAATGGGCAACTTCTGTGTTTAAAATAATTGTTTCTGATGGATTATAGCAGGGGTGGGCAAAATGCGACCCGCCAGGCCATTCTATCTGGCCCATAGGGCCCCTAAGAAATTTAGAAAATTAATATTTAGCTGCCGCTGGCTGCCTGTCATGCAGCCCTCAATGGCTTGCCAAAACGCAGTAAGTGGCCCTCCGCCCAAAATAATTGCCCGCCCCTGGATTATAGTCTCCTTCCCAGTAATGTTCCTTTTTCTTCACCCCCACTGTAAACTACCAGCATGATTGAGAAGTTAGCTAAATGGCAGCAATCGGACCAAGGTTATTAGAGGTGCACCCGTACATCGGTGCCATATTGGATCAGCACAGATATAAGGAAAATTTACAGCATCAGCAACTGGCTTTTTTTGGCTAATGTGGCTAATAAATGCCCTGTGCATGTGCACAGCTGCACCGCAGCATGCAGGCAGTGAGGAGCTCAGCCCAGCAGCATGGAGACCAGCCACATTCAGCTGGTAAGTCTGTTGTGGTGGAAGGGGTGGGGGGATGGA